CAGCGCCTTCTTAAGCGCAGCAAGGGAGAGCCCCTTGCGCTCCTTGGAGGCGGACACGGCCTTGGTGATGAGCTCGGTGACGCTGGGCCCCGCGGGCTTGCGGGCTTTGGGGCCGCCCGCCGCTTTTTTCGGCTTCTTGGCGGCGGGGGCCGGGGCGGCGGAGGCGGGGGCGGTCTCGGACATGTCACCGACAGACCGAGCTTCGGCGGCGGCCGCGCCCCTTTTATAGCAGCGCGGCGGGCGCTGATTGGCTCCTACCGGCCCGCCCCGCCCCGCGCTCCGAACTCCCGCTTGTGTTTCTTGTGGTAAAATGGAACGGCTCTTTATTCCTTTATCTGTCACATCTTTTCTACATCTGTGAGGCCGTGGAAGCGGCTATTTTCGCCTGTTGGTGTCTTCTCGAGAAAAAAAGAGGCATCTGCGTGGCGAGGGGACAAGAAATTCCCAGCCCTGCCACTAAACGGACCTCGAGAGAGCGAAAGTTTTGTTTTTCTTTGTAAAAATTTTGGTTTTCTTTGTGAGTCAGGAGACTCTGTCTTAATCTTTAGAGGGTCCTTTTTACATTAGATAAGAAAGCAAACAGTTAGAATCTCATTCTTTAAAACAGAATGATTTCTAAGAGAGTGAGGTAGCACAAACACTCACAAGCTCTGCCGCTGCTTCTCCTACAGAAGTTTGTACCTCTGACGACTGTGAAACACTCAGTTAGGGATATTTCTTTCCCATACTTCCAAACCTAAACTTTCCAGACTTTCCACACTTCTATGCATGAAGTATTGCACAGCAGATACTTTATCCACCTCAGAATGGGCTACCTTCTCTGAAAGTCTTGGCTATTGTTAACATAGCAAAAGGCTCTCTAATATTAGTGGAATAATTTGGCACATGAAGACCAATGATTAAAAGGTTTCTGTCGGACCACAGAGCTTCATATAAGTCTTTGGCACGCAGAAGCAAAAACACTCTAAATAAAGCACACAGTTCTAAATCTGTAAAATCTGTTTGTATGATTTACTAACAGGTTTTCATGCTGCTAATCACACAATCCCTGGTGCAGTGATACCATGGCTGGGCAGGGCTATGGGGAGCTTGAGATTGGCCCTATTTCTGTATTGCAGAGGCAGGGGCTGATGGACCCAGGGGAGCTGGAATGGGGTCCTGGAACCTGGACAGGGTTGGGGGAGCCCAAGAGGTGCTGGGCAGGGACAGATAGGGCTGGTGGTGCCCTGACAGGCTTGTGCCTGCCTCTCTTTGGTGTAGCAGGGACTATAAAAGGCTCTCAAGGTTCTTGAGAGCCTTCAGCATCTCTCTAGATCCAGATAATACACAGTAATTCTGTCCAAGTTGCATGCAAATGTTTGATTACAGTCCTAGTAGACAGAGACATAGATTTCAGTTGTAACAAAACTCTATTGCCACTTGCACTTGTCATTGACATTGGATGTAGTCACCAGGTTTAGGTTCAGTATAGCTGGAAACAACATTTCCTGCACCTCAGTTTAGTGACTCCCAACTCTTTTGTCATCAAACACATAAAAATGTGGGAATGGCTTGGCTGACCTTTTATAGGGCCCACAGTGGCTGGCTGGATCTGGAACACCCTTTCACCTTCATTTCATTGACCCTCACAGGGAAACATCTCAAGAGATTTTGGACTAGCAGCAGCCAGCTTCAGTTGCCAAAATGTCCTTCTAGATACCAGCGTTTCCAACCCCTCCAACAGTCACAAGATCCAAAAAGGGAACGTAGAAAGAGCTGTTTGTTTCATCTTTCATCTCCTCTCTGGAGAAAATCCTTACCCCTAGTTTTGGTCTGGGTGACAATGTACAAGTCTACCTGGTGGGAACTCCCATCTTTTCCCATCCCACTCTGAACCATGACACTCACATCACCAGGATGCCTTAGGCAATTTTATTTCCTCCAAGGCAGCTGGTCTTAAACTTCTGGCTGGCATGCAGCCCTTGGTGTTCACCTGCTCCCCATTGGTGCCCACCTTGGTCAAGCAGAGAATAACTGCCTTTACATGCTAGCTTTCTCTGATTAATCTAGACACTTAAGAGCTGCCTTTCGGACCTGTTTTACCTCTTGCATTCTCTGACACAGGATCTGGGGGAAAGACCTGCTTGCAGAAGAGCACTCACTGCATTTAAGCACCTCTGCAGCCCCCATGGAAAAATCCTGCATCACTATTTTTGTTACTCCTTTACTAACCAAGAGCTTGACTCTTCTCATTTCTCTTCTTCCATCATCAGTGACCCACGATGCCCAAATACAATCTGCAACCCTCCACTTTTGCAGAGAAGCCAGGAAAATGAGCTACCACCTCATAAAAACAAGCTCACAGTGCCTCAGCACAGGTGGACAAACATCCTTGAGGGAGAAGAGATTGGTCCTTCTCCTCTCTCTGTGTTTCTGGAGGGCAGGGATTGAAGATGATGTTCCCTGCACTTTTTCTAGAGCACGCTGGGATGCAGAGTCTGCAAAGGAAAGGAGGAATTTGGCAGAGATGTCCAGCAGCTGATACAGACCTGAGCTAAGAGCAAAAATAGCTGCTGGTATCACTACACCCGTGAAAACAGGGGAAATGCATGAAGCTGGGCAAGAAGGCATGTTCAGAGAAGAGCTAGTGGGTTGTTTTGTCATCTTATTTTTCAGCATATATAAGGTGTGTTATGTAAAGTCCTTAGTTTGGGGAACCCTGAATACATCCATTTCTCCTGTTCCTTTTCCACTAGACTCCTCTGCTAGTTTTCAACCGATTAACAGATTCTAAGAGGTTTTTAAAAATTACCTGCATGAAGCAATATTCTTTCCTTATTGCTTGCATCAATTAAAATGAGAATTCCTATGACAGCTGTCCCATCGCTTCCATATTTATAAAAAAAAAAAAAAATTTGTCCCAGGGGCCTTACAAGAGAAGGATTCCTGTTGACCTACTGAAACCTTTTCCAAGAAACATAAAGAAAAGAATGCTATGGCATTGAAGGCTGATTTAGTATTCATCACATCAAGTTCTTTAGAGTCAGAAGTATGATATACCATTAAAAATGGAAAGTTTAACCCACCAGTCTTGAAAAGATCCAGAACAAGGGAATTTAAAACTATAGCCTGGTCAGTAGTACATAAGCTGTGCTAGCTCACAGGTAGCCTCAAGGAGCAACCATTCATCTGAAACTAAGTCCACCTCTATGCACCATTCGTTTCTGCCCATGAGGCAATGAGCAGACCACCAGATTCCTCCCTACTTCTGTTTCCGTGCATATCAGGTGACAACAGCTACCTCCAAAGCTCATTGAAATTGCTGCAGAACAGCAAGAGATTGTGAGTTGTCTGTAGTTTCATGTTGATAATCAGAAGCCCTGGATCCAAACTGATGTAATTTTTGAGCATACATCAGGAAATGTGTCAGCCTCCATATGCTTCCTGAAATATAAAAGGTGGTGAGAAGTAGGCAGCCTGATTACCAATGCCCACTTGCAATCTACTCTGCTAAAGAGGAAAAGACTCCTACTGAGGAAGATTTTAGGGAAAGAGACTACTATTTTCTAGGCTCCTTCATTACTCACTGTGAGAAGACTCATCTACAGAATGGCTGAAGAAGGAAGTGTCTCAGGTTCAATGTTTGGCCTGTACTGTGGCTAAAAGAAGAAGGATGCTCATCTCCAGACATCACTCTAAAGAGGTACAGTTTTGCTTTATGAGTGAGATGACGGAATTCACTGAGAATACGACTGGCCAAAGCACTGGTGCAGTTGTTTGTTTAGAGAAGCTTTTGTCTCAGTGAATATCAACAAAAATGCAATGTGAGGGTGATGTCCACTACGTATCCTCTTAATCCATGCTTTCTCTTACAGCTTGGGATGGGGTGAATAATTAAAATAGATAATTTGCATTCTTGATCTATAAATCACATCACTCCAATTGGAGCCTTTTAGTTACTATTCGTGGTCCTAGGCCTCATTGAAGCTGAGAAGCATTGCAGTAAGTTAACATGAGAGGCAGCAGAGCTACAAAACAACCTGAAAAAAAAGCTATCTTAATAGCTAAATTAAACATGTAGCCCTGTGTAGCTTGTAAGGAGGTAAAGAGGAGATTGCCTTCCATACAAGTACCTCTTCTGCACAGACTGTGATCCTGCTGCGTGCATGAGTCAGAAGAGTGGTCCTTGGTAATCTAATTCTTCCCTGGTGCAATTTAGGGTTTCCCTTTCCTCAGAGCTCAAAATGTCATGAAGATCAAAGGAAATGCTGTAGTTAAGATGTTATTTTACAGTCTTCCTTGAAAATACTTCTTTTTTTTGTTTCATCTTAAGCAATTTCCATCTGTCTGCAAAGCATCTTCTCAGAGTGAGAAACAAAGTAGAAGGTACAATTTCTTCTGTGTTGCCCTCAGTGACAACAGGGTTTATTTTGACTCAATTTAACCTGGGGAGATGCAAACAGCTTTAATGTTTTCTATAAAACTAGTCCTAGGCCCAGGTCAGCTAGACCCAATAGCCAGGACTCTCTTTACTGCTTGTATCTGGCATAGATTAGAGAGAAAAAAAAAAACAAAACCAAAACCAAACTTATAAGGAAATACTTTTTTTTTCCCCCTTTTTTTTTTCTTTTTTTTTCTTCTTTCGTTTTGGAGTGGGCTGGTTTTTGGTTTTTTTTATTACTGGACTGGTAAAAAGAGGCATTACCTGCTCTTTTCAAGGGCTGCATTTGATCAATTCTACCAGAAGAGTTTACTACACTTCCAAGCCTTTGTACCTCCAAATATCATGCCATTTTTAGAAAGTACTTTTTTAAAACTGCATGTGTTTGCAAACCACAGGTCACATAGCCATGCCCTGCCCTTATGGCTTCTGCCAGTCATGCAGGGAGTATCTTCAGGTGCAGGGAAGCACATTCTCTCACAAGTTTCCCTTCCTCCCTTCCATGTCCTGATCATTTGTTCATGAGGGTGTAGGAAGTAGGCTGAATCCACCCAGGCCAAGAGCATCTGCTGACATCCCTTCAGGGACACCGGGCAGCCGAGCGCTCAGGCACAGCTCACATCCAAACATGGAGCATGGGAGAAACACTGAGCTCCTGTCCTCATCATGTCCTCGCTCTGCAGCTGGCCAGCTTCCCCTCTTCGGGAAGCACAGGTTTCCAGACCCCTGGGAGTGGGGACTTGCTCTTGCCAGATCTCCCATTAACAGATTTAGTACTGTGAAGATGTCCTTAACTCCCTCATGAAACT